TTATTATTACATTTGTTATTATTATTATGATGAGATTATTATTATTATTATGATTATGATTATTATTATTCTTAATATTATTATTATGCTGACTGTTCCCCTGTGACTGTCCCCAGAGACGTGTGGCAGATGTACCTGGAGAAGGGAGAGTTTGAGCTGGCCAAGGAGTACTGTCACGTAAGTGGACGGGAGGTGTTGGGATGTGTGGCGTTGGCGCAAGAGAGTAACAAACATACACAAGAAGTAGAGGAAAAAATGTCGATAGTGAGGGTTAGAAAAGAAAAAGCAGCCATTCCCTGTTGCAGTTCAGGCACAGTTATGAGCATGACAGATGAAACAGCCCATTTACAATTACAAGGTTAGTTTCTCGGACTTGCAACGGTAAAGTTGTGGGTTTCAATCCCATTAGGGGCTCGATGTTGTGTTCTTGGGAAAGGTTTTTACATGAATTTTTCACACTTTACTCAGCTGGGAATGAGTACCAGGCTATAGGTAACACAGGATCTTGTCAGTTTGTTAGTGTTTGAGCGCATGCTATCCACAGCTTGCACTGTATGCTTCCTGGGCAGCTGAAAATGTTTCTGAGTGTTCTGTGGTCTCCTGGGGTAATAACATTTGTAAAGCACATAGAGCATGCTGCAGAGCTTAGATATTTGCTGCAATATAAGTGCAATTATTACATTATTTAAATGCAATCCCACATCATAACTCATCAAAACCATCATATCTAAAATCATCACCGCTCTCAGATTAATGACTTACATCTATAATCCTGGAATCTCTATCTGCCATTACAGTTACTTGTCATACCAAGTATGCACGTAATACACTATTGGACACTATCATACGCACTTTTTTCCTACTAATCAGATGGCCTAAATCTCATAGAAATGGGCAAGGAATTAAAAAAAAGTGCAACTATTGTGGAAGGAAATGTTACGTATATACATAGTAGTAATGTTGGACTCATTCTGGTGATGACATTTTTGCAGGATAACCCGATGCACATGGACAAAGTGCTGACCAAGCAGGCTGACCATCTGTTTTCTTCTGGAAAGTAAGTCATTGTAGTTGTTGTTGTTGTTGTTGTGTGTGTGTGTGTGGTAGTCTATCCGTTCGAAATGTTTGGAGCCCAGAAGAGTTTGCTCTTCGCCAGGGCCACCGCCTCCCTTGGGTAGCGGGTGAGGCAGTCAAACCTCCCTGAATCCTCCCCGAAGAGACTTCCGGTTGGCAAATAATCATGGCGTCGGGTTTTTATTTATGCTCTGCAGCGAACCTCATTGTTTCTACCTAATCTGAGGCAGAGGCTCGATCTACGATTCAAGATTGTTGTTGTTGTCGTTGTTGTCGCTGTTGTTGTTGTCGCTGTTGTTGTTGTCGTTGTTGTTGTTCTCTGTCGTCTTTGTGTGCTTCTTGTTCCTTATGTTTGTGGCGTAGTCGGGCTGAGTAGGTCATAAAACAAGGACAGACAACCAGTGTCTGTGGTGGAGTGGTTAGGTGCTTCCTTGTTGCAGGCAGAGAGACTCGAGTTTGATTCTGTAGTGGGGAGAACAAGTTTATTGAGTATCTCGGTCTTTCTGCTGGGATTTTGTATCCTTCTCAGCCCGACTAAGCTTTGACAAATGATCTTGATTGTGTTTTTGAGGGCATAAAGATACCTATATTTAAAAAACAAAACAACACGAAACAAAAGCATTTAAAAAGTTCATTCATACCAAGTCTAGTGAGGTCAGTTTACTTTAGTTTAGTAAGAGTTTTACGATGCTCGCAACTGCATGTTGGTGGTTGTCAGGTGCTCTGGTGTGGTTTGCTCCTTCTTTCCTATCAAACATCTATCGTCTTTATCTCTCTTCCTTCTTTTTTGTGTTTGTTACTCTCTTGTAACACCTCTAATCTTCGGCACTTAGATGACCTAATTGTGTTGCAAGTGCAGAAAAACACTTGCTGAACCAGAAAAAACCCCCACACAGAGCTACAAAGGATTAAGAACATTTTTTCACTTTTAAGCACAAGGGGGCTATCCTGAAAAGTGCTGTTTTGAGAAAATCTAAAGTAAAGTTTTTTCCCCTTGTTCAGTTTCTTTAAAAGACAAGGAGAGTTTTCTCTATAACCAAACAAATATACACACCAATGAAACCAAACTTCTCCTATACGTAGGGCAATGTCCACTTTGGTATAGGTCGAGATATCTGGAAACCGCCGAAATCTGGGTTAGCCCACTTGTCCTTAAAAACGACCATTTTTGTCCCTCCTTTT